CTGAAGTAGCTTTAATAATTCTGTTGGTCAGTAGTACTTACTTGTCATTACTTATCCTAGATAAATTTCTAAATCCTTACCCGAGTCAAGGGAGGTGGGATAGTTGAGTAGCTCCAGCTCACACTTTTTGTTTTTTTTAACCTGTTCCTCCCTTATGGTGAAATTAATTAAACTGAAGAGCCAGGAGGGGGTTTGCTGCGTCCAGATCAGCCCTGGGTAATTTTTCCTTCAGCTAGTAAGCAGTAATAGCTGATGGCTAGTTTCTTCTGGGGTTTCTGGCTTTCAGATGCAGGAGAGGTGAAGGGGATGAGCACTCAGCTGCCTGGCTTTGTTTTCCTTGCACTGTCCCTCAGAAATGCAGCTCTCTGTGCCTTCATTTCACCCCTGTGCTCTCCGTTGTGTCACTCCTCAGTTCCTGGAATTGCAGCCACTATTTACTCACTGCCTGTGTGCTCTTACAGGGGTGTTAATTTGCTGCCTGAGTGTCCCTGTGGTGCAAGAAGTGCTGCCTCTCCTGCCTCCTCCTCTGCACTCAGGAGGCTCAGTCAGCAGCCTGGATGTGCCCAGTTTTTGTGTGACTCAAATCTAAATGAGTAATTTGGAGAGGCTTCACTGAAGCAGGTGTTCTGACTCCTTTGTTTTTCCGTGCCTTTATTTCCTCTGTGATGGGGGAGTGCTGTTCGGCTGTTGGTTTGTACCAGAGGGGTTTTGCCGGGTGAATGGAGTGAAAAGGGAGGTTCAGGTAAGGCTGGAATCATCAGGGATGTTTACTGGGTTGAGTAAACCCTAAGAGCAGCCTCTTCATGTACACACTGTCTGCCAAGGTGCACAAACCAGGTGGCTGCCAGGATTAGCAGGGAGGAAAAACTGAACTAACCTCTTTCCTCTGCAAAAGGTCTCCTGCCAGTGCTGCTGTGTTTCCTTTTACAGCCTTTAATGAAGATTTTGCCAGTTCCACAGCTATCAGGAAAGCCAATTTCCACCTCAGTGTTCAATCATATCTATTAATAGAAGGCACCAATGCTTGAACACAGCTGGATCCAGCCACTCTTCCTGGATCTTTGTGTTCTTATATGGTATTTCTGTTGGTAACAGATGAAGTTTTGCTGCTTTTTATGTAGCAGATTTTTTGCATTGCTCGTAATAAGTAATTATCTTCTTTTTCTGGCTGGCTGCTGTAGCTTAGAGAAGTGAGAATCTTTGTATTACTTTCATGGACTATAGAAGCAGTGCTCAGAGAGCTGAACAACAGTTGTGGAAATGCAGTAAGAATTACTTTTATTCCCGATTTTCAGAGGAAGCTTCTTGGCCTTAATGATTTAAGAAATTTAAGGTTAATTACTTTTACCTGGCACACAAATTGACACTGTTTTAAAGGGGAATTCTCTCTGCTTTCTCATGCAACAAACAAGAAAAAAGAAGAGCAGTTTTTAAGTATCTTTGAGTGAAATCCCTACTATTTTTGCAGCAGACAAGTTTATCTACTTGATTATCAAAAGTGATGATAAACATCTATGGTCAGTGTTTTCTTTCTGCTACACACCTTATTAACTTTGCTTAAATTAACTTCTTTGCTTTTAGTAAGTTGCTACACAACTTGCTAACTTCACTAAATTTTTATTTTGTGAGGTTTGCAGAGGCACCTTATTGTGAAGGAAGGAAATTTTGAAGTAGAGGGCATCTGAAGTCACAGGATTGCTTGGGAATGTCCACAGAAATGCATAAATTTATTCTTACATTCCCAGTCATGTTGTTAAGGTTGGAAAGCCTATCTCTAAAATTCAAGATTATTCAGAAAAATAACAATTCTGGTAATTTGAGGACTTCCTTTCCATGTTCTATCCAGGGTAGGTGTGTGCTATGACACAGATTCACAATTTTTTAGGTGTTCTGCAGCAGGACTGTAGCAAATCATGGGGCTCTTTCTGGAAGTTGCCCTCAGAGCTCTTGGCAGCACGTGAAAATCAGGAGGGCTGTGCCTGTGTGGAGAACAGTGCTGGCTTTCTTGGTGACAGAGGCATGCTAAAAATAGACCTAAACATTAAAAATTGGAAGCTGCTGGGGTACAGAAGGTGCCTCCTGCCTGGAAGAGCTGGCTTTGTGTAAAGATACAGGATTTGCAATTTGTAGAGCTGTGCCGTGGTCAAAATAGCACAATCCTTTCACAAAAAAAAAATCTATACTTCACTCAGAAATGGGTTATTTTCTTCATCAGTCTGCAGATGTTTATCCCTTTTTAATTCCCTTCCAGGGCTGATTTATTTCTTATTATTTGCTCAAGATAAAGGGCAATACAGAGCTGTATGAAAAAGTGGCTGAAGGTTTTGTTAGTGGCACAGGGGCTTTTTCTTTAAAAAAACCAACTCTCCCATACTACTACAGGTATTGGAAATGTGATTAAATGGCAAAAAGAAATTCAAGAGGAGATCACTATTGATATTTCAAGAAGCACCTGTTAATTGCTGAGCTAATAGAGATTATTTGGATTTATGCTTAAAAACAGCCCTAGTCGGTCAAGTTTAGGCCTTAAGTGGCTTAAACCATCTCAGTCACTTTCAATTAGTGACGTCCTTGTGCTCAGAGAGTCTGGGTGATCAGTCCAAATTTAGAGACTGTAAACTTGTAATAGGGCTATTACTCTGCTGAGGGGAAACGAGCAGGTTCCTTCCCTTGGCACTGGGGCTGAGAAATCAAAAGGTGGGAGGCCAACACTGCATTTTGGATGGTGGATTTTGCTTCACTGCTTGGCTTTGCTGTGTGTCTCTCAGTGACAGCTCAGTGACAGCTGTCCCTGTTGGGGCACGCTGGCCTGGCCAGCTGCAGATTCCACCCCAGGAGGAGCAGGAAAGGTTTGCTCGGTGTGGGAGCCCCAACCTGCTGCTCTGGGTGCCCTCCCCATGCTGTGCTGGGTGGGGACTCAGCGCTCGGGCTTGCCAAGGGCTTGGCTTGGCCAGCAGCTCCCGGAAGCCACAGCCACAGCCCCGGAGCCAGGAGCAGCCGCGTCCCTGCAGGAAACAGGAGCCACACGTCCACCAAGTGAGTGCTGCTTTGCTTTCCTCTGTGGCTGTGTTCGTGCTGTAGGTCCTTTTCTTTATCTTTTGATAGGTTTTTTTTGTTTGTTTGTTTGTTTTCTCCCCTTTCTCCCCCTCTTCTGGGAATTCTGTGGGCTGTGATAACACGAGCTGCCAGCTCTGGGGTTTTTCTGGCGTGCCTCCCCTGTCAGCAGGCTCGAGGCATTCCAGAGCAGTGTGCACTTAATAAGCTTTTTAATTTATTGTAGTATACTGGAAACAGCCTTTTCAGACACCACGTGACATGGCAGTTCAGAGAAGGGAGGGACAAGGAAGAGCAAGCCTTAAAAGCAGTGTCTAAGTTGTTCTGTTTTTATAGTTTTGTTTTGGGGTGGGGTTGGTATTTTTTTTCCTTGCTCACGGCCCATGCTGTTCTGGCTCCCAAGACCTGTGTGTTTTTTTTTTTTTTTTTTTTTCTGGCATGCTAATGCAGAGCCTGTATGCCTGGACAGGGTATTGCATAGTCAGGGTGTGGTGATCTGCAAGAGCAGCTTCATGTTTGAACTGTGCTGAGCTGTCAGTAGTTTATTGCACTTTAAAAATATATGATCTAAAAGATGCTAAAACATCTGGGAAAAAATAATATTCTCGATAAATTGTATTGTTCCTGCAGTAGTGAAAATTAGGTAGGAAGGCAATGCCTAAGTTATGCCACTGTTTGATTATTGTTGGCAATATTGTCTCTCCTTAGGAAAAAGTTAAAGTAGTGCATGAAATAGCCCAGAATTTTTTAAACATTGCAGACACCCCTACTGAGTTCTTCATCTGCTTTTTTAAATTTTTTTTTAATTTGTAACTAGTTTCCTCGACGTTGTATTTTTTTAGATTTATATAAAACAATTTCTAATAGCTTCTTCTGCATTAGACATTATCTTTTCTAGACTAACATTTGTCATACTCAGTCTCTTATATAACACAGTGCTTTTTTGGTTTGGGGTTTTGGGGTTTTTGGGGGTTTTGGGGATTTTTTGTTTCCTTTCAGTGGTTAGATACATGGTATATAGGTCTTGCAGAAGATTCTGTTTCTGACCTTGGAGTTGCAGAAATGAGCTCCATGACCAGTTTTTCCTCACTGGCTCTGGTTATAGAGCTTGACACATGAGGGAGATGCTCTCAGTTTGAATTTTGGGCCAGGCTGTGCTGCCCTGGTGGCTCTTGGAGGACTGGGAATGGGGGTAGAGGAGGAACCTCTATCTCCAGAAAGCAAAGGAACTGTTTTTTCACTGAGTTGGTCTCCAGCCTCTCCACTGTCACCATTTCTGCCATTTGTTTCCCTGAGAGGAGGATGCTTGTGCTCATTAACACTTTGGGGCTTTGTCCAGAGTCTTTTCTGCCAAAGGGAGAACCTGCAGGGGGGATGGTGGCTTTCAGCACTCTTTGGGAGCTCCTTAAGGCTCAGAAACCCTGCTGGATTTATGGAAGAGGTCAGGTCTGTGCCTGCCTTTATGCCATGCTCAGTGCAAAGTGCTGGAACCAACTTGAAAATGAGCATTTTTGTTCCCCAGGAGGGAAGAGTGCTGTGAGGCAGGATAGAACCTCACCAAGGTGGAGATTTCATATTTTTTAACTGAACCATAATGCGGTTATTCCTCCAGAGCATGCTGAAGGCCCTTCTGAAGTGATTTTGAGTTGAAGCCAATGCTGAAGCAAAAAGTTCCTCAATCTGCCCCTTCTATGTGGGAATAATAAAACAATGTTGAAATTTTCTAAAATGGTTGAAGAACAAACCCCAGCTACACACCACCACCATTTCGGTTATGCAGCATTGCTCTTTAGATGATACTTTAACAGCCAAGTTGTATTAAGATTCCTTGACTTGGTGGCTTTTTTATTTATTCTCCTGTGTTCTCCATTCATGTTCGTAGCCATGTGTGTGTCAGTCCATACAGCTATTCATGAATCATTTTTTCTTTCCATTTTCTCTGCATTCTGGGAGTAAAAAAAAAATTTCCTGTTCTGAGTCCTACTCTCACATTGGGTGTTGCCTGGCTTGATTGTTGCAGTAGAAATAATTGAGTTCATAACCTCAGAGACCTTTAGCCTCAAGATGAAATCGTCTTTTATGTAACTTCAGTGTCTTTTTTCAACCCCCCACTTTAGAGAGCACTAGTTCTGCTTGTGACTCGCTGGTTCTGTTTGTAATTCCCTTTTGCATCCCAGCTCTGCAGAGCAGAGTGACACTGCAGACCAAGTGACACAAATCCTATAGCTGAGCTCAGCAGCACCATGTGGCACGTGGCTGGCACCTAATCTCCTGTTTTCCTGGTGTTTATTTGTCAGCCTGCAGTTTGCAGCTGTGGAACGTTCTGCTGTTTGAAACAGCGTGCTGAGAATGGGGACAGTTGGCTGGAGAAGCTGCAGCCAAACACTCACGTGAGGAAAAAGTGAAAAGAGGATTTTTGAGCTGCTCATGAAAACAGGAGAGCTCATCTGCACTGACCGGCTCACATATTACTGTAATCCTCTCTTGTGCAGAGTGGGAACCTGAGAAGAGGCTTGGCAGGACTGGGGCAGAGCTTCTAATATCTGATTATGACTGAATGAAAGTGAAATTTCAGCGTGTGCCAGCTTGTAGAATTTACTGTCACAGAAACAGGAAGTTTCCAGGAGGAGGTAATTGAAGAGCACACTCTAAGGAGAAATAAGAATGGAGGATCTAAAGCTGATTGTTGATTAATTTAAAAGAAACAAGGATTGTGCAGCCTAAGGTACTGGAGTGATCTCTTTGCAGGCACACAGTGTGTGAAGGCAGCAGATGAAGTCTGTTATCCTTCCTGGAATGTACTGACTTTGTTTCCAGATTACATCCAATATCATGGAAGGACATTAAATAGAAATTGCTTTTGCATCTAGTAAAGCCTTTAAAGCAGTAAGCCAAGCTGAATACTGGAATCTAAGTAATTCCTCATGGCCACAAATTGAACTGTGAGTATGTAAAGTTCTTGCTGTATAGATACTGTGCATGACCTGTGATCAAACTCTTTCCCTCTGCTTCAAAAAGAAGCAAACAGGCACAATGCTTCTTGCCATCAGCTATGAGATACTTACAGTTTTTTGACAGTCCTAACTTCCTGCATATAAACTGAGGTGTTGGAAGTTAAAGAAAGACTCAAATAGTACTTAATAGTACAAAAATTACTTAAAGTGAACTGTCATTCACTGGCCTCAGTTGTGTTTTGTTCCAGCATAAAGCTGTTTCAGAGCATTAACTGTTGCTAAAATATAGAAAAACAAACATGCCAGTATTAAGCCTTGCCTGTAAAGCCTTAAGCCTGAATTAGATTGCTACAATCCAGGAATCTTAAAACAGACATCTCACCTGAAGATGGTTTGGCAGTTTCTAGGAGGTGTGAAGCCTTGTTCTAAACTGTGGTAAATATAATACTGATTTTACCCACTGATTTGCCTGATAACATTTCATTTAGTGTGACCAAATTCGAATGCAAGTAGGTTGCCTCTAAAAACACTGCTTAAAAACCTGTTGCATTGAGTTTGAGTAGTATGGTCAACCAGCTTTAGCTGATGCATAAAATGCAGTAGTGAAGTATGGAAGAGTTTCATCTCTGTGGCAGAATGACAGAATTTTTATCCTAGTATTCCAATAGAAGAAAGCAGTGAGTGTGTAATGGAAGTTGTCTGGCTCAATGTTCCATGATCATCAATAAATTTAGCAGCACCTGAGGCTGTAAAAGTCTTTACAAGATAATCAGGATCTCAATCTCCTGGTTCAAGCCTGTTTCTTTAAAAAATTGTCATGTTTTTGTTTCATGAGGAAGTGGCTGTATTTCCTCTGTCTTTTACCATCTCTAAATGGTGGTTGATCTTGCTTCTGGGTATAGATTAATAATTGCTGCAAATACTCGTTCTGCGTGGTGAGAAAATGGCAGAATAATGAAATTTTAGGGTTATTCTTTTCCACAATAGTAGTTGCAGAAATCTGAACTATAATGATAGTAATAGATTGTACATATTTTTCGGTTGTATTCACGCCAGCTGAGTTTATGAATGCTGAAAGCACAAGGAAGCATCTCTGGAGACAGGGTTTCTTCTAGTTGGGTTGTTTTGTTTTTTTTCCCAAAGACAGGTACTTAAAACCAGGTATATTGATGAATTGAACTACAGTAGCATGAATTTAAAAACCAGCCAAAATAACAACTTTGGCAAAGAGTTTTAGATTGAGTGAGACTAGAACTACATAAAGTAACTAGAGCTGCCCTCCAACGATTTTTTTCCCCCCACCTGCCCTCAGTGGCTGGCAGGGGCAGGAGGTTTTGTTTGTAACATGCAGTGTTGGTGAGTTTCAGGGATGAGAGTGGGCTTTAGAAATGAAAGGAGACTTAGAGGTGGGCAAAGTCTGCCGTCAGAAATTCCAGCATAAATCATTTGGAAATGGTTCTCATCACTTCTGCAAAGAAATCCTTCATGACAGGACAGCACAAGTAAACCAGTGTCTGAGTAATACACAGGTACTAACTAGAAACCTACATCCTGCTCTTCCATTTCATTGGGTTCTTAATATTAAGTCTCCACAAAATTAACAGACAGCTTGAAATCTTGAGAAGAATAATGTTTTTGTGGTTGTTGTATTTTTATCTTTCTCTTAAAAAGCTGTTGTTTTTCTTAGAAATATAATAGCAGAACTGCATATAAGAGCAGCAGTTGCAAAATAGGATATTTCCAAAATCGCTTGGGATGGAAAATGATACAGGGGCACTCAAAAGTTGTAATTTTTTAACTCAGCTATTATAGATACTGTAGCCATAAAAGATATATAAACAGGTAATTCTTGGTAATGTTTTTCCACTTTCAGTCACTGCATGTCTGAGATGCTGCGTAGCTTTAAATGTACATGTTTAGAGATGCATGTATTTATTTGTAAACGTGCACACACACCTCCTTGGTGCTGTCCCTGTCCCACTTTCTGTCTCCTGTGTGTGTCCAAGGATGGGAGGGCTGCACAGCCCTTGCCACACACCATCAAAGCAAGTGAGAGGTTTAACCTCTTATCAGCTCGAGTGGTATTTCACATTGGAGTGAAACAACCCATTATTTTTCACGATGGTTCTCTGAAGAGCTTTTGCTGCCCACTTCTTACATTAATTAAAGCTCAGTATCAGGGCCATTCATGGGAAGGAGCAGCCACTCCTGGTCAGGTAGATTAGTTTTTCCTTTGCATTACACACCCTGTGAGTTAGTAATTGTGAAATCATAGGTGTTGTGAGCTCTCAGCCTGAGAAGCAGTCCCAGTTCAGTCATACCCAAGGGGTGTTGGTCCCTAGCTCTTCAGTCCTCGCTTCTAGACTGAGTTCAGCTAAGTCACTCTGAAAATGTTTATACAAGCTCCCCCAAAAGGCTGCTAGAGCTGCAGGTGCCCGATTTTTCCAGTTAGCCTTTGCCTCAGAGTGACTCTTCTCTCCAGGAGGAAGATGTTTGAGCACAGACCTGAGAGATTCATTATCAAAGGCTAAGTCACTTCCTTCTTTGGTTCCCATTTCCTTGGGGCCTTGACCCGAGTACAAAGCATCAGGTTCTGACTCGCCTTTTGCTGCCACTGAGTCCCTCATACATACTTTTTCTTAACTTTTCCCTCCTAAACCTGTCTTCATATCTCGATATTCATCTCTGCTGCAGTGTGATGGCAAAAATTGTGCTAGCACTTGATGTAGAGAAGCTCAAGCCAAAGATGTTGGAAGTTATATTTTGCATTTGTGTTTATGTTGTCACAGCAACAGATTACTTTTCCCCAGATTCCTCTTCCTTTGTTTGTTTTTTCTAGGAGAATCTCAATCTCTGACATTATGGCCTTTGCATGTTTTTGTCAGTATTGCTGCCTGCCTAGAAGGGTTTGGTGTTGTTTTGGGTTTTTGTGTTGTTGCCTTCAACCTACCACAAGTGTCAGAGATCAGGGGGTCTTTTTTATTCAGCTGTCTGAAAGCAAGATTGTAATCCAGTATCACAGACCAATTTCCCCATTTTATTCGAGAAAATGTCACCTCAAATAAAGTGAAAAGTTGCAGTGAAAGTGCGTCCTTCTCTGGAGGTTTGTTGCTTTATTCTTGTTGATTCTTACTTTTGCACTTGTGGTCATCTCAGCATTTCTGTATGGGTTGCTTGATAAATATTTGCAGCATCTCTTCTGGTTTTGAAGGTCTCCACCTGGTGCACTGTGCCGCTTTCTGAGGTTGGGCAATGACCTTCCTCATCCTGATGCATCTTCCACATGAATTTCCAGGGTTTATCGTTTTAGTTGATGCTAGCTCTCGCTACACTTGGGGTAGTTTCAATGAATTTTAGTTCTGTGAAACCAAGAGCACTCACTGATTTCTTTGCCTGTTTTACTTTTCCAGAAGGCATCTGCATCCAGTTCTCTGAGCTGTTCAATTTTTTTCTCTTCATGTTTTCACCATTATTTTCTTCTTCTCCTGTTACACTTCCCATTTTTCATGCAGATTTCTGTAATACTCATAGTGAGACGAGATAACCAATTTTTGATTGTTTTGCTTTGTGTGGCATCTGTGACAGTTCTCTTTCCAGCATAGCGTGAATGCCACCCTTATAACTTGACAAATGAATTTCCAAGGGTATTTCTTCTCTTAATTCTATCAAATTAGATCCCAGATCTCTTCATCATCTCTTCCTGGAAGAGGATGAATGGAAAGCCACCCTCTAACTCCAGAGCACCGAGGCCCTGTGGTCAGCTCCTGTGCAAAGACTGATCCCTGTTTGTTACCCCACACTGCAGGTCACCCAGCAGCTCTGCTATAATTAACAGGGATCAGTCTTTGCTTAACCAGTGCTGCGCTGTAACCTCTTTCCTGTGTGTCTAGTCTCTGCTGTGGTGGTCTCAGGAGTCTTAGGCAGGGAGCAGCTCCTGGTGGGCTATCAGTGGTCCTGGATGCCATGCTGTGGATTTGCCTCTCTGCTCACACAAGAGCTGTGTGTTCATCATCTCCCAGGCTGGGATCCTTCTTGCACCTCACTCACAGGGCACCAGGGCTGGCACAGCACCCTCCAGAACCCATGCCTGGTTTCAGGCAGGAGCCACAGGGATGTAGCTGCACGAAAAGAGGAACCAGCACTGATGCTGCTGGGTCTCCCATCTGGCTCTGCCCTCCAGGGATCCCTGACAGCTCGGAAGACACCCCACTCTCCCTTTGCAGCATCTCCTGCCTTTCTCTGCCCCTGTCTCCTAGGCTGGTTCAGCTCTCTTTGTTTGACACCCCAGCCTTGCAGAGAGGGGCTGTTCTCTTGAGCACATCCAGAGGAGGCAACGAGGCTGGGGAGGGGCTTGGAACACAAACCCTGTGAGGAACGGCTGAGGGAGCTGGGGTTGTTCAGCCTGGAGAAAAGGAGACTCAGGGGTGACCTTATCACTCTCTACAACTCCCTGAAAGGTGGCTGCAGTCAGGTGGGGCTGGTCTCTTTCTCCAAACAGCAACTGACTGAACCAGAGGACAGTCTCAAGCTGCACCAAGGGAAATACAGGTTGGTTATTAGGAAAAAGTTATTAAGGAAAAGGTGATAAAGTACTGGAATGGTCTGCCCAGGGAGGTGGTGGAGTCACCATCCCCAGATGTGCTTAAAAACACACTGAATATGGCACTTGGTGCCATGGTTTAGTTGAGGTGTTAGGGCATGGGTTGGACTCGATGATCTTGAAGGTCTCTTCCAAGCCAGTGATTCTGTAATTCTGTGATTCTGTGCATTCTCTTGGGGCTGACCACGCCGGGGTGCAGGCAGGGTGTGCCACAGCCTCACGGCAGCTTTGCGTCAGGAGGATTTTGTTGCCAAGTTGCCAGGCAGCACTTCAGTATTTACCTCCACGCCTGACACACGTCCCTGTGTTGCTTCACGCCTTCTGCAGTCCCTCCGTGGAGCTGTGGCAGGAACATCTGGGCACAGCTGGGCACAGCAGAGCAGGGTCCAGGGGACGGGAGCACCAGAGCATCGTGCGGTAAGAGGCTGATCCAGGAGCCGGGCTGGAAGGGACAAGGTGGTGACAGTGTGACCACACCAGCCAGAGGGGTTGGAGCTCAGCAGGCTCTTGGTGTTGTCAGCCTGCTGGCTGAAGGGCAGGGAGAACAAGGAGCCTGCTTCTTCCCTGGAGTGAGTCTTTTTGGGGAAAGAGTGGGAAGTTGTGGGCTGTTGTGGAACTTGGGTGGAAGCGGAGCAAGGCACTCCCTGGTGATCCCTGTGCTCTTCCCATCTGTCCTGCTTTTCTCCTCAGGGCTTTGTTCCCCTGAGTGTCCCCAGGGAGGATGGCTTGGTGTCCTCCACAGCCACTGGTCAGCAGCCATACATTGAGCTGTTTTCTGTTTCCAAACTGCTCCTCTTCCTCCATTCTTCATCTTTTTGCTTCTGCTGGTCACTGCCCTCCAGCTGGACAGGGCAGGAAGAAGCAGCTGGGGTTCTGGGAGGTTTTCATTCATCCCTGCAGGTTGTGGTGGTGCTGCTGTGCTGGGACGTGGGAAAAAATAACTTTTCGATTCATTTTAAGACAGTGGCTTGGTAGGAGTTTTCTGAGGGCTGGAAGGGAGAAGGGCTTAGATAAATGTTTTTATTATTAAACAGACAGGGACTATGGTGACTAATGCGAAGGTGTAGAATAGATACCTGCTTGTTAGTCATGCAGAAGGAATTCAGGTTAAGTTCTTGCAGAAGAAAGAAAAGGAGAAGAAAAATAGTTAAAGAGCAAATTAAGAAAAATACCATGTTGCCAGCAGGTTACCTGATGGTGGTAATGGAAACAGGTTAAAAGCTTATTAAAATCTTTAGTTCTCTGCCCTAATGTAGGAGGCTCTGTACATTTCCATGTGTCTCCACCCATGCAAAATCTCCCATCTATTAAGTAGTCAATCTGTAGGTATATGGAAGCATGTATTACTTGTTTACTTTCCTGCAGTGTGACAACTGCAAATTCTCTATAATACATATTTACATATACATATTTAGTATTTATGTATTTACAATACATATTTAGTCAAACCTCTCCCTGAGGTGTGTGAGACACCAACTAAGGTGGGGAGACCACGCTGTTGTTGTCATAGTGTGCATTTTAAATTCTGTACAGCTTTTCTTTTACTGATTAGAAATGCTTGTGCTGCAAAAAGTTAGGGAAATTAAATATTTTTATAAGTAAGAAGCCACCCTGGGGTGTAGAGTAGTAATATGGCTTCTATTCATTCAAACTCTGTGTGTGTGATTTCATACTTCCAGTAGCATGGTAAACAGAGATGTAAAAATGTAAACAATGTAAAAAAATGGAGGAGAACAGAAAAAGTAAAATACTTGATAAACTCTGGTGTAAATTTAAATATGACCTATGAATGGATTACTATGATAGAGATAACAAATCGCACTATCACAGAATACAGCTTTAAGCATATGCAAAAATACAAAATATACCTTTAAGCAGAAGAGTGTGAAGCAGGAATAGAGGAATAATATTACTTCTTTATGAACTATTGATGAGACAGCTGGGATGTTCTGGGCTTTGAAGTTTGATACAGCCACAACAGAAACACACCACGGTGTTTTTGGATTGACATTCCTGAAGCCAGGAGAACAGACCATGTCCTTTGTGGAGTTGGATGATATATAAGAATACTGTGGAGGGACTTGTGTTTCTTACATAATAACTACTCCTTTTTATCTCGACATATTTGAGGTTGATACTTTAGTATTAAGTATTTTCTGTAACAAACCAGTAAATACAAAGGCACAGTTTTTGTTTAAAAAATTTAAAAAAAGAAGTGTGGATGAATCCTGCAAAGTAAGTATATGTGCTTCAGTGTGAGAGCAGGATTTGAGTTTGTCTTGGTACTTGATGGAAAATTTACGGTCAGTGCATGTCAGAGGAGAAAAAATAATGTTTAAAGAAGGTCATGAGGCATCCTCAAACTGTCAAAATTCTACATGTATGTATGGTAGAAATACAAGCCAGGTAAAAGATCTGAAGTAGTAACTCTAATTTTCAGAAATAATTTATTCTTAATTTTCATCTGGATAACGAGTGAATTCAGATTTTTTATGCTTAATACAAGTATTTATTACAAAAGTAAAGTTTTTTGTTTTTTGGTTTTGTTTTTTTAGAAGCAGTCTCCTGTGGATGCATCAAAACCACAAGTCATGAAGCCATCTGAAACTAGGGTAAGAATTTCAGGAGAAAAATCATGCTTGCACATGTATGAAGCCTTGGAGTTTCCTTTTTTACATGTTGATACTGAGTAACTTTATTTCTTATCTGTAGCTTAGTTTCCTCTGCAAAAAAAAAAAAAATCTGAAAAAGTGCTATTCGAAGCAACGAGAGGTTTTAACAACAGCAATAAAAAGAACATTAATTGCAGTGTTTAATTTTAGCTCACGTTTTGTGACATGTGTATAGCTCCCCCCGGTGTAGCTGCAGGGTTGTTTTACCTGGTGATGATTTTTCTCATCCTCAACAAATTCAGGATGAGCTTTCAGCTTTCTGTGTGTGTACGGTTGCATCTTCTTGTTAATTTCTTGTGTTTCTATGTCTGGCAGCTCCTCTGCCTTTCCCCTTCACGCTTGTTCTGTCTTGTTTTATGGCTGGGGCTTCCTCAGCATCGGGGCTGTGTCATCGCTCCTGTCCTTTGCTTGTTGAGAGAGAATCATCATCCTCACCTTGCCGAACAGGAGCTACGTGTGCTGTTCAAACAAATGATTTATGGTTCTCCCCCCCCAGCTCTTCCATTTTCCACCACCACAACAGCAAAACCAACAAAAGCTGGATGCCAGAGCAGGCCAGATGGGGCTTGTGTGTTGGTGAAGGTTTGGGCTGCCTGCATCTTGTGTAGATGGCAGTAAAGGGGTGAGGGTGGGAGAGGTCCCTGCAGGTGCTCTGGTGCAGGTAAATGGCACTGCTGGAGGCCCTGCCAGGAAGCTTTTGAGCACCTACAGCCTGTTGGCACAGTCAGAGCTGAGGTTTGGTTGCCTTCACAGTACTTTATATATATTTTGTTACATATATTTATAAATGTATTGTATATATTTTTATATATATTATATATTTATTTAAATATAATATCATATATGTATTTATTTTTATGTATAATGTGTATTTTATATATTTGTATTCATTAAAATATAATGGAATATAATATAATGTATAATATATAATATAAATTTATATTTATGTATATAATATAAATATTTAAATATTTTTTGTTTTCCCTTTATCAAATGGGAAACTTTTTTGTGACCTTTTTCCTCTTGTCTCTGGTCATTCTGCCTGGATCCCCACCTCTGCATTTGAGCTTGGCCATTACGTCTCCTTCAGCCTTTTGAAACCCTTTTCCTCCATGCACACATGCATCTTAAGAGCTGAATGGCAATTAAACAAATTTTCCATTTGTGCACCATCATCATTACTCACAAATGAAGGCATCTGCCAGCCTCTGGTTTCTCCTGCCTGTTGTGTTTGTGGGCAAACTCATTTGTGTCATGTTCATTAAAATGTGTGGTTCTCCATATGGTCTAATCCAGACAGCTATGGTCTTTCCCTACTTGAAATTTAAAACAACTCTCAGAAGAATGTAGTAAATGAACCAAAAATAGAGTAGCAGAGGCATGCTTCAGCACTGTAAGACTGGTAAATATGAATCCCTTTGAGACAGTGGCCTGCATTTGCATGTGTAACATAATTAATGTTTTCTTTTAATGTCTGTTGCATTATTAATATCTTTCTCCTGCTGGATTAAACAACTCATTTGCGTTTTTGACAGTAGACTTCTTTGAAAAGAAGCAAGGTTGCTGAGTCACTTTAATTTCTAGTCCTAAATTTCTTGCAGATTAACAAGTCTTTCCCAATTGTCTGCTATAACCACATCTCATTTGTCCTTTCTGAAGTCTCTCTGGTGTGCCACTGCTCCCCTCCTTAACCTTCAGTGCTCTGAGTGAGTCCTTTGCCTCTAGTGAACCCTCAGCGTTGTGCCTCTCTGAGAAAGCCCTGAGTTCACTGTGGCAGAAGGAGGAATGTGGAATTTCTTGTTCTGTGGGCAAAGCCTGGGGTAGGTGGACAATTTGGAGGACCAGGGTGTAGAGCCAGCGCCCTGTGGGGTTTTTTTTGCAGGTTTGGAGGAACCAGGGTTCTGCCTCCACCACGGTCACAAACACATCCCCTTCAGCTGCCTTCCTTTTGCACTCGTTTGTGCAGCTGCACTGTGAACCAGGGAACCAGTGAAAAAATGTTATTTCCCATTTCCAGACCGTTTTTCAGTCAGTTTGAAATATGTCCCCTCAGATCCTGGCACAGTGCAGTTGAAAGGGAAGTGGAACATCTTTTTTCTCCCTAGGAATTCAGTGCACACTGTCAGCTGATGCCATGGCTTCAGTCTGTGGCTGTTCACACCTGACTCTGTTCAAAGGATGGCTGAACAATTCCTCTGAATGGATAGTCTCATACTAAAATTGTTGGTTTGGTTACCTGGCTTTTTTTTTGTTTGATTTTTTTTTAATTAGATTTGAACTTTGTAATTGCTAGAAGTGTGTCTAAATATTTGTGTCTCTTGAGCAGGTGTTTATAATCATGTGTTTTATTGTGGCCTCAGCATGCTTTTGTGTGCAAGTCTTCAATCAAATCCTTGCCCATATGGGTCCATTTATTCTTCAGCATCACCAAACATAAATTTATAGTATGCGCAATTCTGTGTATTTCAAACATTTCCAAAGGATAGTGAATGCCTCACACAGAAGGTGCATAAAGTAGACAGTAAAATCATACTTACAGTATAAGAAAGAAGACTTACAGTTGTTCATAACTGGTTTGGCAGGTTGAGAATTTGTATTCAGTGTTCTGTACAGGTATTGTTGGGTGTGGGCAGAAGTGCAAGTAGATAAATTTTATGATCCTGCAAAAATAAGGTATGTTTAGTCTTCTTCTGAAAGGCAGGTAAAAAAACCCCTGAATTTGTGCTCTGACAGAAGGGTACTCAGAATCCTGAGCAGGCAGTAATCCCAGAACAAGAAAAGCCAAACTCTGTATTTTTTGAACTTCATCTTTGCACTGCTGTTACACTTTTTGCATTTTGCTGCAGAAGGACACCTCATGTCTGATGACTCTTTGCTATAGATGGTACAGAAACACACTCAACCTTAATTTTTCTTAAAAACTAGGAAAATTTCGGATTAACCTTTCATTACAGGATTATTTAGCATACAGGTACAAAAATGGATGTGTGTCTTTGAGTAGTCACGTAAAAAGGACACACAAGTGGGAGCACATAAAGCATGACTGAACCTGACAGTTGCTGTGCTTTAATCAGTTTTTAAGCATCAAGACAAAATATAAAGCAGGGAATTTGTGGAGAGGGTGGGAATCTGTGACCTTAAGTGATGATTTTTATTTTTTTATTTTTTTAGTATTTACTTTTAGTACCTTTTTCTCACTTTGAGGATTTTTGCTTTTCGTTCTCCATCATTATTTCTCCACTTATGTGTGGAGGTGTGTCCCTCAAAGCTTGGAGACCTTTGCCAGGATTATGCCCAGGCATCTGCATTTAATGTGTGCTCAGGATTTCCCAGCCAGGTGTCGGCAGTTCAGTGTGAGGTTGTGGATACTTGCGTAACAAAATGTAAACAAACATAGCAAATTTCTCTGTGTGGTCAGCCAGAAAACGGAAGCTGAGTGATTCTAAATGGTAATGAGTGTTTGGCAGATGAAACGCTCTTTTTGTGTTGCTCATAGTGCAGCTGAAGTAGCAAGGAAAAAATAGGAGGAAAAACGTGGTGAGGAGGCTGGGTTTCTCTCTTCTTAACAGACATAACAATTCTTTAATTTTTCAGTTTTAGTTCTTGCTGTTGTAATTTATTGCTTACTGTACTTTGACTGAATGAATCACAGGGCTTGATTTTATGGCATGGCTGCAGAAGATTTTCAGGTGTAAACCCTGGAAGTGCAGTCATGTAATACTATCCTAGCCAGGTTGTCCTCCTCTGTTGTAAAATAAGCATTAGGAGATTACAGAGGAGAGGAAAACCACAAAATTTCAATTTGTGTGTTGTATAAGGATATTAACTGAACATATCCCGCCCTGTGTATCTGCTGTTGAATCTAAGCAATTAATGTATTTTCCATTAGGATTACGTGTATTTTTTATAATTACTGACTTCACAATTATAATTATTTCATTGATAAATTAGTGAAAAATAATTCATTAAATAATACTTGAGGCTATTTCAGAAATTGCTAGTGGCAATTTGGATTTGGTATCAAGCTGGTTACTGTATTTTAACATCACTCCCTCTCAATTCCCCACATGAGGAATGAGTGTGTCTGTGTGTGGATGTTTGCACACATTTAAAGCTCTTAAATCACTACCAGGACGTTGTGAACTGCAAGATTAGTGTGTAGTAGTTAGGCAGCGTGTGTGCTGGCAACTGTTAACCTGTCTGATATTCTGCTTTACATAATCTCATCCTCTGCAAATAACCATGCATATTAATCTCTGCATAAATGTTGTTTATATTTCAGTCTGCACCAACAACCAAAGCAGGATCTGAAAAAAACGCGCAATCAGACAAGGTAAATACCTCCCTTTCACCTTTGCAGAGTTGCTGCACTTTGGTCTTTTACTAACTTTGAAAAAAGAGGCTGAACTCTTGGCTGTTTCTGTGTCACATGAAACTGGTGGCATAGCCGTGCATAAACTTCAGGACAGCCTTCGAAGTGTCCTGTGAACCATCTTTAGATCTGTCTTGTGCTTGTTTGGATTAGCATGGATCATGTTCCGTAGCACTAAGTGGTGGAAATGGTAAATTATCTCAATTTTTTATTTTATGACAGCCAACAGACTCTCAAAATGAACAGCTGTCTGAAGAGAAGCAAAAGGAACCCAGTGATGTAAGTTGTATAATTTCTACCCCTTTCTCTCTCTAGCTGTCTTTGAACTTTTTAACTTATTTGAGAGTTCCTTCTGGTATTTTACTTTTGTCTTTCGCTTGAAAGAATAGTTTGAAAAAAAACCAAAAAGCCAGCCCTCCATATCTAGTGATAATAGTTTATCTCTACACAGGGAAAAAAACAAACCACACCTACTGTGACAACAGCTTCTAAACCAAATGACACAGGAGAAGTAACTACAACTCAGGCTGACCAGCCTCCACCTGCAACCTCCACAGAGACAGCAAAGGTATGGTAGAAGCAGCAACGAGTTTTTATTATTTTAGCCAATTTTTGCTTTTTTATTGAGGGGATGTTAGGAATGCACATCAAGATGGCTTCTTTAGCTGAAAAGCTGGGCTTTTGGGCCCCCAGAAATCACAGTGTAGATAAGCTGTTGGCCAAGCAAGCAACATTAAGAACATCATCACAGTTTTAGGCCTGTTCCTTTGGGTTTGGGGCTCTTTTCTTTTTCTCTCAGTTTTTTTAAAGTTCTTTGTAGCTACACAGCTGTCACTGGTTCTTTGTCAGGCTCTTCCCTTAAGGCTCACTGCAGCGTTGGCTCCAAATGTAGGGGGTCAGCCCTGAACAAGGCTCCAAAAAAAACTAAAGTGAGAAAGGTTTGGGGAAAAAAGGCTGGAGAGGAGTCTTTCCCGCATGGCAAATGGAGAAAAAATACGAAGGAAAAGCATATGGTGGCATCAGGATGTGGATGTTTTGGGCTGCTGGTGTGCTCATGTCTGGTGACAAGGTTGGGGTAACACGAAGGGCTCCTGCAGCTCTGCTACAACACACTGATTGTTGGCAGTAGATGGGAGTGTCAGCAATGCAGAAGTCTGCATTTTTTTGCAGTGATGTTGCCCCTCTCTGCCTGCAGCAGTTTCCACCCCATCTGCTTGAGCACCTTTTGCAGCTGGAACTTAATGGTGCGTTGAGAGCTTCCAGGAGTAAATGGCAGCTTTCCAAAGAGACTTGGAAGGGGCCTCAAAGTCCTTTTTGCCCTACAGATTTCTTTCACTGGCAGAATGAAAGAAGGAGGTAGAGTGCTTAAGATAGAAGGCTTTCTTTCCCACAGCAGAATCCCACTGGAAACAGAGCTTTTGTGATGGTAGCTCACTCTACCCAAGCATCTGGGTGCTGTGCATTTGTACCAGCCAGTTGCTGAGTCCAAAAAACTCTGCACAGCCTCAGTGTTGGATGTTTTACTTCGTTTTATCTCATTTTTTAACATTGCGATAAGCTATCTCTTAATTCTTCTTTTTCTTCTCCAGCAAAAGTCCAAGGAAGTGTCCACAGTGGCTGGTGCAGCTGCTGGAACAGGCACAGCTGGTGCAATTGTGGTTGCTGCTGCTGACAAATCAAGTACTGAGGTTAGTAAACATAGCCCTAGACAAAGCCTTCCCTTGTAATAATGTCTCAGAGAGTGCTTCTCTCTCTGAAATACTTCGGTTTCAGGAAAAAAAAAAAAGAATGGATAACTGCTTAAGTACTGATACATCCTCAGTGTATGTATGATGGTGGAGGAAGAGGTAAAAAACAAGTGGTGTGTCATTTGTGTTTTGTCAAATAGGACTTCTTTAGAAGCTAGCTTAAAATTACACAAGCTTAAAATCAGTTGCTCCCTATCTTTAGTTATATTTGAATATGTATGTGTATCCACTGATGCACAAATTCAAAATACCTTGTTAATGACACTGGAGAATTGAGTTTATAACCGTTCTCACTGAAGAATCTGGCAAATACATGTCCTGCTGAAAGAAAGATTTTAGGTTGGTTTCTAGGAGTATTCTACAGATTCACCAGATGATTAAGATTTTTTTTCCCCATGTGTGCATGTTGGTAACTTCTGTAATGGTTTGCTTATTTTTTTAGCCTGGTATGGATGAGTCAGCTCTTGACAGCTTAATAGATACCCTTGGTGGACCTGAGGAAGATATGCCTACTACTCCTGTTTATACTGGCCCAGAAATTACGGTATTTTACACTTCCCATTCTTATTTCTTAGAAGATTCATTCCTAAATTACATCTGTAGTTTCTCATTACTGGGTTGATCCGGGACTGGGATCTGTGAAGAGTGATAACAGAGTGTGCACAGTTACATTTTAAAGTTGGTTTTGTTAATATGGAAATGACACAGTTTTGGGAATTTGTTGAAGAATTCAGGTCTTTCTGAGTCTGAATGGGAGAGTCATGTAAGAAAGATTAGTTTACAAGCTTAGTGGCTCAGCAAAACATGACAAAAATTTTGGAATTCATAACTATTTAAAAAGCAGTCTAGGTTCAGCAATACATCCTATGGTCTGAGACAGTGAAATGGCTTAAATTAGGAATCTGGGAATGTTCTGCTGGATAATGAGCACTGTTGAAGCAGGTGGGAAGACAATAGGTACTGAAAGACACTATAGAGTGTCCTAGTCAATATTTGCATTTTCTTTCTGGCAATATCACTGTAGGTAACTCTTATCAGAAATTTATTTCAGTAGAGAATGGTACACAAACATTAATGTGTGCATTATTTTTACAGGAAGATATATATTCAAGATACTTGGAAGAAATGGGCAAACGGGAAGGTAGTCTCCCTCCAGAGTATGTTAAACTGTTGAAGGTGAGTTAAAAAACACATCCTTCATGTGTGTTTTCTGCAATATTGGATGTTTCTGCTTCCCATTTACTATAAAATTAATTCTCATTTTAGAGCAAAGGATATGGCAAAGATGTCCCACCGAAATCAAATGAGCAAGATGAAGTAAGACTTTTTTTTAATATACTGGAAGGTGAAAGTAACCCAGTTATCATTGGATTAATAGGAAAATATAAATGTTGCCTGCTCTCCAGAAGTCTCAGGCAATGGGAAGGGAATGAGGGGTACCAAATAACCTAGCTACTGATAAAACTAAGTAGAGCTTGGCACAGATGTTTTTAATAAAGCTGTAGGACTTTTCACGATGCTGAAGCTGAAATGAGTCAAAGAAATGCTTTCAGAAATATTTGGCATACAAATAACAAAGGGAAGAAATACTGTGCAAGCAGGAGTCTCTTTAGTAAAGACTACTTGTATTTCTACACTTGGCCAGACATTTCTGTCAGCCAGTGTAATTTTGCTGGTTTGGAAGTTTGACATACTTTTTAAAAAGCTTTTTTTTATAAGCTTTAAAAAGAAAAGCTTATATGAGACATGAATCAGCCAGTGGGAGCAAGCACCTTTATTTTTTGTTATGTCAGGAACTTGTGCCAGTGAAGTCACTGTGTGAGTAATTATTGTAATACTCAGGCTGTAAACTGAGTTTGACCCGTGATGATACTTGAATTTTCTCATGGTTATAACTTGGTTTGCAATTCCTTGCTCAGAAGCCAATGACAGATGAGGAGCTTGCAGAGGCCCTGTCATCTGACTTCACCTGCAGTGCTGCTTCTGCTCAGGAGAAGAAGACAAGTGTGACAGAGGTATTGACATTTTCCTTGCCATTGCATGCATTTTATTGTGTGGAAAAAATGATGCTGTTATCATAATATTTAATATTACAGTAGATAAAATTTCCTGCTTCTTTTCTATTTTTGCGAATTTGCCTGTAATTTCATCTTGCTCGTAGGAACCAAATAAAGAAGGAGAAATTGTGCAAGCACAAGCAGCGAGTTCAGTTAAGACCTCCGTTCCTCCTAAGGAGAAGAAAACAAAATCAAAAGAGGTACACATAGTCCTTCTTTCACTGGTTACTTTATAATTAAAATTTACAGGCATATGATGCTGTTATGTGTTTTGTTCTCCTAAAGATGCTCATCATTCTCATTTTCAACTGTAAATCCTCTTTATTATAGAAAATACAGGAATAAAAAGAAATGCCATTGCCCAGATTCCATTGTGCCTTGAAGCTCTGATACACTTTAGTGCATCAGATGATTTTCCTTCTGGATTCTGGGGAATAACTGTGATTCTTCTCATTAGAGGAAGTAGAGTAGCAATATTAGTAGGAAAATTTTTGTCGCTTTGTATTCTATGTTTAGAACTTTGACATGATATAATTTTCTCATGTTTTTTGGACCTTCTGTTTTTTTTCCTCTGAATAGAGAAATTGTGACCTTACACTTTTTCAGTTTGCCATGTCAAAGCATATGAGAATTGTGTTAGACGGCATTGTGACACTGGGTTTTGGGGAGTTTTTCACTTCCTTTTTGTTTCCTTCTCTCCTTAAGAAAAGCCTCATGTCTAACTAAAGCTGTGCTAATTCTGTTACGTAACTTGGTGTTAAGGTAATTGGGTAAAGCCAAACCAAAATGGCCAATCTGGTGCTGGCTGTATCCTTCATATGCAGTATAAAAATACGTTAAGGTGAAAACCCATGTCAATTTAAAGAAATAACAAAATGGTTTGCACGTTTTCTTAAAATACAGGAAATGAAAGATGATGCAATGGATGCTCTTCTTGATACTCTTGGAGGACCTGAACCTGAACCTGAAGAAGATCCTACCCCTGTTGTAGAAGTGTCAGAGGTAACACCTCACTCCTTTTTTACCCTGGCTTCCAGACTCTGGCTGTGGAATCCCAAGTTCTCCTTGTTAGACACTGGGAAAATGTGTAAAATGACATGAAAATTACTTTGATATCAAAGGCCTAAGGAATGTGTGAGTCTCCAGTGATTAAGGAAATAAAAAAACATTAAGAATCCCAAGTGGATACAGGTAGAGTAGGACATAGTATATTGGTCTGGAAAACTGTGACCATGTGATTTGTTTGCTTCTACAAGCAAACATACATTCACGGGTAGATACAGCTCTGTTTTGGGTTTTTTTCCCTCCAGCACTCTATACAATTTATAGCAAGCTTTCATTTTGCACATATTTGCTGTTTGATTTTTTACTTCCTCTGGGTGTGCTTCTTTTCTCAATCAAATTCCATTATCCTTCTAATTTGAGTCTTTCACTATCTTTTGGGAGTTTTGTTTTTCCCCAACAGGTAGAATTTAAGAAGTTACTCTGTGTTTGCATGTTAAGCTTTAACTTTTAGGTTTAGTTTTGCAAACTCTGTCTATAACCATCGTTAGAACAAGTTTTTCCTGTCTTCACTTATAGCTCAGAGAGAACAAATTACAGAGAAACAGTAAAAAATCTTCTGTTGGTGACCTAAATTTTGACGAAAAAAGAGCTTCTTGTATTGCAGATTTAGTCAGTCTGGGCTTTTAGATAACTTAGTGGATGTATTTCTTCATGAAGTTGGCCCTAATAATTAAAAACTTTGTATTGGTGCCCGTGATGGGAAAAGACACAGAATTATGCCTTGTGTAATCAGAGTACTGAAATGCAAGAAAACCTGATGATTTTGTACATACAAAAATTCTAGACGTGTCTGCCACAAAGACAGAGCTCTGAATACTATCTAGAGGTTTTTAGGATTTAAAATAATTCAGCCATATTCACATATGGCGTTTAATCTTAAAAAATGGTGATTTTACCACAGACATTTGGCAGGAATAAATTGAGGAGTTTTAGTATCTTGATACATAGAGTAATTTCATCTGATGCTAGTTTTTTTGTACACGGTAGGCAGAAGAATCCTGATAAGAGAAATTGTGTACTTGGAGCTTTTATTTTAATTTCTTTAAGTGTTCTTCTTTTAATGTTGTTTCTTTTTTTAAGGCAAAAGCCAAAGAGAAAAAGGAACAAAAAGCTGGAGAACGTGATGATACAATACCTCCAGAGTACAGGTTAACACCAGAGCTGGTAAGTTTTTCACGTCTCCATTGCTTTGTAGGCAGGGCACTGTGCCTGACACTTTTATTTCATTACAGAGAGGGAAAGAACATGGGGAAAACAAACTAAGCTAGTATTTAATCAATGGCTCTCTCCTTGGTGATTTCTGTATCTCTTATTTTCTTCTCTTCCTCTGTGGGAATCACTGTTTTTTCCAGGCACTCTGGGTAAAAATTTCATTTCACCCATGAGATGGGTGAGTCATCTCAAATGGCAGAGTCACCCATTCCTTCTCCAAGAGTCACATTTCTTGTTTCTGACATTAAATCTCAGCCTTGTAAAATCCATCCCTTTGCAGGAGGGCTCTTTGGTATCCCTTTGTAATGTAACCCTGAAGCACTGATGTAAAATGGTGGGAAAATTGCACTCTATTTTTTTTTCCTGGATTGTCACCCAAAGTGATGGAGATTGAATCAAAGTTAACCAAAACAACAGCAGAACACTTTTTGGTCTCTTGTAGTGTGCTGACATCCCATTTGCTTTTTAGATCTACTTATATGACCATGTAAAAATTCTCCATTTAGGGGAATTCCTGTCACTGATTAATTCTTGACTATGCAATTTACTTTACATGATTTTGCTGATGATTACTGAGTATGGCACTTCTTGTAACAACAGAAAAATGTCAATAACATTTAATTTCCTTCCAGGATAAAGATGGAAAACCAATATTGCCGAAGCCTGAAGAAAAACCAAAGGTTAGAAAACTGACAATATTGTAGGAGTGTGGCTAGCTATCCTGTTTTCTCCCTCTCTGTCATCACTTCTCTCTGTGCCACGATGTAAGTCTCTTGGTCTGCTTGTGAGTTTTACTTCCTTGCACAAAACCTGCTGGTCAGAAGCATCAAGTGGAAGTTAGTTTTATTGAAATTCACTTATCTCTGAATGAAGAACATATATGAGGAAAAGGTTTAGAGAGCTCAAGGCAGGAGAGAGTTACATAAATTACTGCTAACTCAAAGAAAAGCTGTGTGGGGAGTTAGTGAAAAGTATTCTGTAGAGGTCTTTTGAAGCTGTTAAGGGTAGAAAGAGGTGAAGCAGGAAAATCTTTTGTTTTCTTGACAGTTTCCTCTTGCTAGTGATCAAATATAAAGAAATTTGTCTGGAAAGAGGGAAAAAAAGCTGCTGTGGACATTTTCCTAATCACAAAGAACAACCTGGACTTTGCAAAGACTATCCATTGTGGCCTAGAAACCGCAAGAGAGGATTAAAATACTGGAAGAGACAGTAGCAGATACTATTTTAAAGGCACAGGAAAAAGCAAAGGAACTGTAGCAAAGCACTAGAGAAACTGAGGGCTCCACTTTGGAAATACTGTGAGCTGAGGAGTGCTGCCAGAAATTGGAACAGCACAGGCAGTCTCTGCTCTCCTGAAATGAGTGTGAAGGTCAGGACCAGTTTGAGTGCCCTCTGAGCAGAAATCTGAAATAATTCATATTATTCAGTGTTAGAGGGTGGAGGGAAGGAATGCAAAGTACTGGAAAAAAAAAGACTTCTGGTCTCTTAAAAATTTTTACATCAGGGCTGACATGTGTGGTTGTCTTGAGTGGTGGATGTTTGAGAGCTGCACAGAAGGGAACTCCTGTCATGAGGAGAAAAAGTGAACAGCTCTGTTCTGGGGGAATAGGACCTGCTGCCAGGAGAGAACCCTGTGGGATCACCACTGATATTTATATAGATATAGATATATAGATATAATATTACCTATAATATTATCTATAATATTATATATAAGAAATATTCTATCTATTCTATTCTATTCTATTCTATTCTATTCTATTCTATTCTATTCTATTCTATTCTATGCTATATTTTTATACATATTTATATATCAGAAACCAAAATCACTCAAATGGGAAAAGCTGTGTTAACAGCTGGAAACCATCTGCCACTTGCTGTTCTTCCATGATTTCTGGTGAAGTCCTTCCTCCAGGATTTCAGCTAGTGTTTGTCTTCTTTTGGGCCTCCACTCTGCTTAGCATTGAGCACATGCAGTAACATTACTCTTAGTGAATAAAACTTACTACCTAAGTGCCTTTTAGGGGAAGGGAATGAGGGAATTTCTCTCTCAGAAATGTCATTTTTTTATGCATTATGAGCCTGTCTCTAAGCTGTTAAGTTCCATGCAGTAGGTGAATGGCCATCACTGCTAGCAAAGATTTAAACATTTAGTACAGTAATTTGGAGGATTTACATTTCAGGGGAGTAACATTTGAACAGTAATTTGGAGGATTCCAGGAGCTTCAGGTTTATAGATGTAGGGATCTATGGATTGCAGACGCCTAGTTCACATAGTGTCAGTAGATTGTAATATATCACACACAGCAGGAAACTAAAACTGCATTTTTATTCACCAAAACACGCACTGTGGAAACCAGTGAGTGTCAGCAGTCAGTGGACAGGCTAGGGGACTTTAAGGGAACTCTAGTTCTGCTAGTAAATATTAGCGTTTTTCTTCCTAATTAAGAGTTTGTATTTTCCTTTTCAGTAGCCCTGTCTTGAGCATTCTGTATCTGGTTCTCTACATTATGTTTTATATTATATGTACAGTTCTCTATATTATATTGACTTATGATAAAAAAAACTTATTCTGAAGTGTATTTTTCTTAATTTTATGCACTGCAAAATTAATTCTGTTCTGTTGCATGTAATTGTGAAAGGTTATTTCAGTGTAAGCTAGAGATATTTTCCTGCTTTATGAGTAGCTGAAATAACAGCTCTTGAAAAAGTAAATTAAAAAGAGACAGTGAGTCACCTGTGCCACATATGGGTTTTTTTGTTTGTTTGATCGCTTGATTGTTTTTTTTTGTTTGTTTGTTGCAGCCTTTGAATGAATCTGATCTTGTTGATGAATTTTCAAAGGACTTTGCCTGCCCTGCACAGCCTGCAGTTCAACCCAAAGTACCAAAGACTTGCAACACATCCAAAGTATGTCTTTCTGGTTCACTGGAGAAGCTGACACTGAGTGTTTTACTAAGACTGGGTTGTGCTCCTGTTCTTTCAAAAAGCACATTTCTCTTCCTGTTCTACCCTTCCTGTTGCCTTTAGCAAAACATGCAGTATTGGCAGTCTTCATTGAGCATCTTCTGCCTTTAAATTTAGACTTTTCTTTCTCGTTTAGTATGTATTTAGGGGGGGAAAAAAGCCATTTAATGGGCACATGTTGTGTTTTCTAAGCATATCCACTAAAATATAGTGTAAATTGTTCTGTTTCAGAAGCCGTCGGGTTCTGTGACTGCAAAGGCCACTGAGGATCAAGTGGTCCCTCGTGCCACAGCTTGCACTGTGCAGTCTGCAGCTCCTGTGTCCTCAGTAAGTAGTGGAGCCCCTTCAGCTGGAGCTGAAGCAAAACTCAGTGTTTCATTTATGGGATGGTAGAGGATGCCACCAGGATGCTCATTTTAGTATTGCATGTTCTTCCTCCATAGTGGTAACCCACAAAGGCTGAGTGGTTCCAAAAAAAAACCCCAAAAAACAAAAAGAACAACAACAAAAAAAACCCACAAAAGACAAGCAAACAACAAAAAAAAACCCCAATAAACAACAACAGCAAAAAACAAAACAAAAAAAAAAGAGCCAAGTCAAGCACAAACTGAATGGTCAGTGACCTTCCTCAAAGAGGAAGTCAAACTGATGGTTCTTGTGGTGTCCTCCAGCTCTTACTGCCCTAAAGGGGAGGCTGTTTGTGAGCCGAATAGGGACTGCAGGAAAAGGCAAAAGCAGGCTTCTTCAGACTAAAAATTGTTTTTTCCTGTATCAATACCCATGCAGGTTGCTCCTGTGTCAGATGAAGCACTGGAAGCCTTGTCCAGTAGCCTAGGAAAGAGGGAGCCTGATCCAGAGGAGAAGAAGCCTGCTGTGGACAAAGTTAAGGTAGAGAAAAAAATCAGACCTCAAAAAATAGACTGTTGATGTATTCGCCTTCAGTGTTACTCCATTTCCTCAGGTCGCACAAAGAAAGTAGATAGTATGTTTAAACTTTTTTACAAACAGAATGTACTGTTGAAACCCGTTCTGTTCTGCTTAGGAAGTACTAGTAGGATTTCAACACAATGAGTACACTTTCCTAATAATTCTGACTATTGCAGTGCAGTAGTTCCCTCAGTGTCTGAAAACTGTGTTTTGTTGTGTCCTGCTGAACTGAAGCAGAATGAAGATGCACATCAGGAGTAGCACTTAGTGTGCTCCTTTTCCTGAAGGAACCAAATTTATGATGAGGGGTTTAAATTAGGAAATTATTATTAGGAAATTACTTAAATTATGCACAAAACTTTTGGGGTTTAAATAGGGAGCCAGCCATAAGTAAGTCACTGAAATCCTGTCCAAGGGAATGCTATTCATAGGCACAGTCTGAATACCCCCATGTGCCACCCTAAACCAGATTGATATACCAGATTGAATTGGCTGCAGTCAGAAACCAGCCCTTCTGGTGGCTGGAATTCTGTCAGGCAAAAGTTCCCAAAGTTGGCTTTAGTCCCTTTCCTTAGTTGGCATTTTCCCAGCATAACTTCTATGGGGGTAATAATTTTTCAAGTGGACCACTGATTTCACTCTTCAGCCTTCCTTTGTGTGCAGTCCAGACAGCTGTTGAGTGGATTTCCAAAAATGTAAAGAATTCAGACTCAGAGGTATTTTTGATTTTGATCCACCCTTGTCTATTCACTTAGCTCTGATAGCTTCACTGAAATAGGTAGAGCCACTTCTGATACACAGAGGAAGAAACAGACAGGGGAATGAAGGCTTTCTCAAGATAAAATGCTTTATTTTAACTCCCATGACATTTGTATCTGGTGGCTGGATTGAATGAGAAAGACCAATTTGAATCAGAAGACTGAGGACTGGTAGCTTGCTCAGGTGCATTTCTGTGAGTAGCTTTTTTTCTCACTGTGATTCCTATTTTGCCTTCACAGGAGAAAACCAAAAAGAAACAACACAAAAAACTGGGTGAAGAAGAAGAATCAATTCCTCCAGAGTACCGATTAACAGAAGCCAAAGTAATTTATTTAATGTGCTTAATCTTAATTGCCTTCCATTCCTCAAAATGTGTGGATGAAAGTGAGACTCCCATTTCATTTTGAAACACTGATGTTTTGGCTCAGCCAAATAGGTTTTATAATATCTAGAAATATCTAGAAATTCTGGTTTTCAGTTCCCACAAATACCTGTCATCATTGGATGCCTGCATGGGCATAGAAGTGGTTTAGATGCAGGTACCTGCAGATTACCAGTTCTGTCTGAGATTAGTCCACCAGAGTCTTTCAGCAGCTTCTGATATTTTAGAAAAAAATAAATTGTGATTGGTTAAAGCTGTTAAGAAAACCCCAAGGACCTGGATGTTTTAAATGGCACCCTGAGTATCAGCAGTAGATGCTGTAGAGGCTGCTGGTTAGGTCCCTGTCCTGTGTAACACTTTCTGTTGCTCAGAGAGTGCTCCCAGAGTGTTTGTATTGTTTGGCCGTTTAAGGTTTAATGCAAGGGGTTTTTGTCTTTATAGGATAAAGATGGAAAACCACTCCTACCAAAACCAGAAGAGAAGTCACAGGTAAAAAAAAGTGATAATTTCAAATAATTGTTTCATTCATGACTTACTTACCAAATGTCAGCAGGGTTTACCTAGTGTTCATTTTAAAAATGGGCTATGTTACCTTCTTACTTTTTAAGAGATGAAGAGACTTATAATCTTCCTTTTTTTTCTTGCCAATGGCAGCCTATGAGTGAAAATGAGCTTTTAGAGGGTTTGACAGAAGGGTTTTCCTGTTCTCCATCTCCACCTGCACCACTACCTGCATCAACTGTACCAAAGGTGAGTGTATTAGATTTCTGAAATCTGGTTTTATTTTCAAGTTGTTTGAATAATCATGACATTTTCTGTGTTTCCTTTATCAAGTTCCTTAAATGAAATCCAAGAACTACAAATACTCCTTGCAGTAAGTTAATAGCAGAGCAGGACTTTAAAAAACAAACAAAAATAAACTAGTTATGTGACCTACCTTTTTACCAGTTGCTTGCTAAGTAGTGCTTTGCAGCTGAGGATTTTTTAAAGGGTTTTTTGGGAATATTAGATGGCTTGGTGAAATCTTAGCTCTTCTGGAGTCATGTTAAACCTGTTTAAACTTCAGATGTGGTGAGATTTAACCCAGTGGTTGAGATGGAAGAACAAATTGAGATGAGGAACAGTTGCACAACATGTGGCTTATCTGAAATAAGCAAAGCTCCTCAGGAAAATTAAATCCTAGAAATCAGCTGTGTGCATGCTGTGTTTTGGATGTGTTTTTTGGGTCTGATGAGTGTTTTTCTCTGGGTCCCCTGTGTGCCTTATTCTTCCAGAAAGCCAAGGATGGTGTCAAGCCTGCAAGTTCCTCGGATGTGATCTCTGCTGCTACGGTTTCCTCAGTGCACTCAGCAGCTCCTGCACCTTCTACCTCTGTAAGAAACCTCTCCTGTAGGTCCTTTACCCCAAAAAGAGGGGCTGAGCAGTGAGGAGAGGCAGCAGCATAATCCATACAGTTTGATCAGTGTGGACTGTTGCAAAATTTAATAATTTATTGCTAAAAGTGGCTATTGCGGAGACGGAGAATGTTCCTCTGGGGGAAAAAAAAAAAAAAGGAAAGAAAAAAGAATGATTGGATACTCCATTTTCAACAGAGTCCCATAGGCAGCATCATGACCACCTTTGAATACCAGGGGAACTTTCCTTCCTGGTGTTTATTGTAATGTTGCTCTCACATTTTGATCTATGCAGAGGGATCTTCCCCTGGTGCTCCCAGCCTGGTTTGGAAGGGGAATATAAAGCTCCTCCTGGTCTGTGTTGGTTTTAAGGACTTTTTTACCATCCAGGTTCTGGATAAAATTGCAAAATGAATGGCAATTTCTAAACAATAGTTGCCAAACAATTGCCAATCATTTCATAGATCTGTTTTCATTACAGCAGCTAGGCTTATCTATAAAAAAAGAAAACCATTCGAGTAAATTCCATAAGCCCTTCTTGAAATTTTGTTTTCTATAGGTCAGAAATATTCTGTATTTTTCCCCAGCTATTGTGCTACACTGCAAGTACAAAGGGAGTGCTCTTTGTTCACTCAAGTTCTACAGTTCATTAGCCAGTACTTAAAGTAGATTGATGAATTACATCATTTTGGCAGCAGATGTGCTTTCACAAATGTGTTTCTGCTTTGTTAGGGAGGAAAAGAGATGGATGAAGCCTTGGATCTCCTGTCTGATTCCCTGGGACAGAGGGAACCTGACCCTGATGAAAACAAACCAGTTGTGGATAAAGTGAAGGTAACAAAAGACATTCTGAAACTTGAGCAACTGGGGGAGAGGGAGGGGTGGGAGGGAACAAACCAATCCAACAAAAAACAAAACCCTCCAAAACCCCCAAAATCTGCAATGGTTCTCAGCTACTCACAGGAGTATGTGGCATTGGGTTTTTAGATGTAAGAGTAAGGTTATTGGAGAAAAAAAAAATCCATGCTCATACATATAGGTATATCAACCACTTCTCAGTCATCTGGATTAATTGTATGTTCTATAAAAAATTATGATCTGGTTACTATACTTTAGCCACTTGGAGGTAAGTGTTGAAATGTTACAGGAGATTTGAAATCATTTTAGTTCAGTGCCTTTCATTGCCATCATTATTCTCATCATTTTTCAGGTTTCTCCTTGGGCCTCAGTTTCTAAAACTGATTTTCTGGCCCTCTTTTTATCAAGCTTTGACTTCTATAACCACAAGTATCAAGTCTACTTAATCAGGCACATTTTTAAACTTCCTTGTTTCTGTTGGTTTTGTCTTCATTTAGTCTTTCATAAAATCTGTAAAAGCCCTTCTGCTAACAGTAAAATAAATTTCTGCATAATAGTAGTAATAAATTGTAATTTGAAATAGCCAAGGTAAAGTAAATTACTGGGGAAAAGAATAAAAACACCATATGCTGCCTATCAATAGGTTTAGGCTGGAATCTTAGTTAGATGAAAAGGGAAAAAGAGAGCCCTAAAATGCCTGCATTATAGAAAGACAAAAATGTTTTCCAGCAGTCTGCTTAAAAACCTCCTTGTGGTGTCCTGTGTGGCATGTTCCTGGTATGGTGCCAAAAGAAAAATAAATGTAGTTTTTGAAACTTTCAGGCATGAAACATACTTCATAATGAAATGAATGTAAGTGGCTTTTCTCAGTAGTTTTAAAATTTTAAAGTGAAAAAGGATATTTGTCCTAGGTCCGATATGCCCTTTGACTTGTTCATTGCTAATATTTCTAACATGGTTATTAAAGTTGTTAAATTATTAAATACTTTCAGGAAAAGGCTAAATCTGAACACAGAGACAAACTTGGAGAGAGAGATGAAACAATCCCACCTGACTATCGAAAACTTTTGGAGTCAGGTGAGCAGGTAAGGAAAAACTTCCCTAGATTTTATTTGCAGCTATGGAAATTTGAGTCTGCCTAAGCCAGTCTGTCCCCTCTGGAATTAGAAGTTAGAATAAATGAGTGTCTGTACTGTGTTTATATATTGGGGTAAAACATGGTGAGAAAACATGTTCTTTAGTGAGAACAGCTCTATCCATGTATGCTTATAAGTCAAAAACAAAAGGAAGGGGGGGAAAAAAGAAGTTTTGTTCTTGGTATTTTGGGGTTTTTTTCCAACTGGGCAGTATGAACAAATAAATAACTTTGCACTACTAAAGAACCTGTTCAGAACACTGCAGGTTCATTGGCAATCTGTGAACACCCACAGTAGTGTCATATATAAATGTTTTTTTAAAACTAATCTGACCAGTTTAAAATGAGGATCTGCTTTTTTTTCTTCCCAAGAGTAAACCAGCAAAGCCAACAGCAAAGGATGACATGAAACACAAAGGAAAGAAGGTAATGTTTATGATTATTTTGTTTTCTTTTATACTAATGATATTTATTCTGTGGTTTTTTTCCTTCTGTGGGATCTGATTTTGTTTCAAAGTTGTGTCACTGTAGGCTTAAAGGGTGATTCATTGCAAATACTCATAAATGCAGGAGGTTGTAGGAACAGCAGTGGACAGTAAAATTTTTGTGAGGAGTAACTCTTCACAATAAATGCAGTTTTTATGTACAACTGCATTATGAATGTCCAATAAATCATGCCTCTTGAGAACCTCTAACAGATCTCTGTAACATATGTGTGGAGTTCAGGTGTGTTTTTCTTTAAGAAAAGAGATAATTAATTAAAGCAGACATAAATTCCTCAACCACTAATTTGACTGTGGGAAGCTGGGTTGCACATTTTGTGACTTCAAAATTAAAATTATTGCAGAAACCTACGGATGACAGTGCAGCTATTGATGCCTTATCAGGTGACTTTGATACTTGTGCAAAGGCTCCTGCTACACCCCAGCACTCAAAGGTAGGACATTTTCTGCTAATAACTTGCAAAATAGACGGTTTTTCACTCCTCACTTTCCTTTGCAGTAGCTTGGTTTAGGTTTACAGGAAGCCTGTCCAGATGCAGGGTTTGTCCCACTTCTGCAGTGGAAGTTGGATATATTTTGCTGTGTACTAAATATTTGGACGAAGGAAGGTTTGTGGTAATTAGAGCCTTTTAGACAAGCTTGTAGAAGTAAGTTTAGCAGAGAAACGTGGTAGCAGCTTTTAAGAGTGTTCAAAAACTGCAGAGAGACAGAGAAGCCTTTGCTCAATGATAGGAGACACTGTGCAGCAATGGTTATTGGCTGGAGCTGAGACACAGTTCGAGAGGGTTTTGTAGAGAAAAAAGCAGGGAACAGCAAAGACTTTTAGGTATGTTAGGGAAAACAGCAGAATTGACAGTAAGAAAGCAGAAAGAATGGACTGGAGAGGTCCTGCAGCTAAGAAAAGGAGCAGTAGCTTTGAAAGTGATATTCAAACCAGCTGTGTTCCTGGGAGGAAAGAGCTGTTTGTAAACAGAATTCTCAGGCAGATGAAGACAGCACCACGGGTGTTTCAAGTGCTGCTTCACCTGCTCGTGAAATCCAGGGGTAAATCTGCTGCTGCAGCATTATTGCTCAGCAGTAAATACAAAATCTGCCCATCTCTACCAAGTTTTTCTGATGCAGTCTTCTGTCAGCATGGCCTGTGTTGCTGCAAACCCTATTAAAAAGATTGTGTTTTGGCAGATATCAAAGAAAGCAGGTGCTATCAGTCCTCTATTCTCCTTGTAACTGTAATTATTTTTTTTTTCTTTGGAGTGTAGGACAAAAGTGGAAAGGAAGCTACGACCACTAAACCAAGCTCAAAGGATAAAGGAAAGCCCAGAGACCCTAAAACGGTATAAATATGTTTATTATTGTATGGACAGTCATACAAGAGGGGCAGATGGATTTTGGAATTGCATTTCAGGGTTGTTATTTTGGCGGAAGTGTTGCATCAATAGGTTGAACTTGATCCGTTTTTGTAAACATGCACATAGGAGAAAGGCCCCTCTCTATTTCAAGGGAAATTGGCAATAAACAGGGGCAAAAAAATACGTATCTTTCAGACAAAGAGTGGTCTTCTGAGGGGGTCTTAAGTGCATGCTCTACAGCCTTCTCCCTCCCAGATCTGTTGATCTAAGAGTCCCATTTTGCATGCCTATGGCTGCCTTGAGCAGGATCCCAACAATTTCTCTCATGTCTTGACAGTTTTGAGTAACAGCATCCGAAGAGTGATTAAAAAGTACTCCAACAGCCACTGCCAGATTCTCAAGTTATTATCATAAATTATTTTTTTCATGAATGAAGACCTACATACTTTCATAAATTAGTATGAATGAACATAGTGGGGAAGAAACAGACAGCTGTTTCTATATTCAAACAAAGGAGGGAAAAAAGTGGGGGGAGAAGCGGAAGATAAGAACAGTTGCTTGGCTTTTTTTATCCCTAAGTACAGAAAATTGATTCAGGTCAGGGTGAAGCTGAAGCTTGTTCCATCATGTTGTTCTCACAGAGGATACGTGCAGTAGATGCCTGAATCAGATTATTACATCTGCTCTGGAAATTTTACATTTCACATGTCAGTGATGGGATTTCTGGTTGTTGTTGTTATTGAATCACCACAGGTGTCTTTTGTGTGACCACAGGACTGGCTTGCAGTTCTCAGTGTAAAACTGAGAGGTGTCTTTATCTCCTCTTCAGGAGGATGTTCTGAGCTGTGACCTAATCACTGGTGTGGGTAAAAGGGTGTTTAGGAACAGGGAATTACAAGGTCAGGCACAGCCCACTCTGTCTGAAAGAAATGCAATTGATGGTGAAAAGGTGAAAATATTTGCACACAGCAGGAGTTACAAACACTCTGGCTAAACTATCTGTATTTCAAGTGCAGATTGTATTTATGTCTGAGCTGTGATTCCAACACGTGTCTTGTCACTGCCTGATTTCAGGTTTTAGCTTGGTTCAGTTTCTCATTGTTTCATGCTCTCTTTAGGCAAAGGGACAGTCCTCCAGCAGCAAATCTGAGAAGCAGAAAACAAGCTAAACGTTAACCTTATCAGGTGAGATTTTTTCTTCCCTGTTCCCTGGGCTACCACAAAGACAATTTCATGCTTGTGAACTAAAGCTGAGCGTTGCTAGCAGTCCTTAAACAAAACCAAGACATGGTTAAAACTGCTGCTGAAGCAAAATGCTTGGGATGACTTTTCACTTCAGGGTTCCCAGGCAGGAAAGTTTTTTCACACCCTTTATCCGTTCAGTTTGTTACAGAACTACTTCATGTAGCTAAACTCCTTTAGGCTGTTGGAATTCCAAGCATTCCAAGATGTGAAGTGCTGCTTCCCTAAGACATTTTCTCAGAGTAATGAGGAGCAAGCACACCTCAGCTGGGAGTTTTGATTTTTAGGATATTGACCTTGTGTCATTACCTCTGTTCTGGACCCATCTGGAGGCCTAGTTCCCATAATTCTTCCCAGATTTATGCCGTGAGTTATATTTCCAATTAACAGAAAATGAGCACTCTGACTATTTTTTTCTTCTGTTTTCTCCTCCCCAGGATCCTGCTGCATCATGTAAAATGTCTTCTTTCTCTGGATGGATGATTATTCTTGAAGAACAAAAGCTGATGCCAAAAGCACATAGTTATTCTGGGTGGTTTTTGTACAGTGATACTTGCTGGACTTCTCATCTTTTCTTTTTTCCCAGTAGTAGACTCAGGTGGTTTGTTTCTTTCCCCCAGCAATTCAGTTTATTAAGACTCATATAGTCTGACGTTATTGTAATTTCCTTCAGCATTCAGGGGGAAAGAATGCTTTCTATTTGCAGGAAATATATTGCATCAATGAAGAGCTATGCCAAAAAAAAAAAAAAAAGAAAAAAAAATCTGCAGACTTTTGCACATAATCTCCACATAGTGCCTGTAAATCTCTGAGGACTTCATATGTGCTAGCATTTTTTTAACTTTGCAGTGAATGCATTAAGTATTCTGGAATATGGTGAGCTTTAGTTACCCTCAACTGGGCTGTGCAGCATTCTGCTCAGGCAGTTCCTGATGGGAAGCTGTAGGCCAGCTGTGGGGTGGCTAAAGAATGAGAAACTGGGGATGAGCCTCTTCTTCCAGCACGTCTGGACATCAAGCAGGTATTTGGGATGCTGCCTTTAGCCGTAGTTAAAACACACTAGGGCAGGACTTTTTTTTTTTTAATTATTACCATTATTTCCAATTGTATCTGTACTGTTATCTCATAATTTCAGGAGTCTCCTGGACTGGACAAATAACAAATGTAACAGCTACCAACACGCAACAAGGGTGGGGAAGGAAAGGAGGGGCAGAAGCCTCAGCAGCGATCAAAGCTCAGGTCCAGGGGTGGCTCCTTTTTATCTTATTTTGCACTGTTTCTAGTCCTCCTGTTCCTGCAGGGAACACAGGGATGGGGCTGAAGGTGATGCTGCAGAGAACAAAGCCCCGTTTCTCCTGTTCCCTGCCAGGACAGGCACGGCCAGGTGCCTCTCATGGGTCGGCTGCTGCAGCCCTGGGCACCTCCGTGGGTTTTCCTCTGCCTCCCTGCCCTGCAGAACGTCTCTTCTGCACATCCTGGCATGTGCACAGCTCTGCCTTGGGCTGGCAGAGGGAGGACGCTGGCAGCAGAGCCCGGGGTCTGCAGGCAGGGACGGTGCAGGGACTGAAGTTGGGGATATTTAGACTCGTGACTGTACTTGCAGTCTGCACCGTGCCACTCCAATAAAGTTTTTAAGGATGCACTGTGCCCTTCCTGGCTTTTTATTTATCACCACTGCTGTCAGGCAGAAGAAAGCCTAGAAATAATAATAATTTTTTTTTAAATCCACAAATGTTGGCATATTAAAATTGAATCTAATATTCAAAAACACCCTTAAAATACAGAATTGCAGAATCAACCAGGTTGGGAAAGAGCCTTGAGGTCATCAGGTTCAAGCTGTGAATGAACACCACCTTGTGAACCAGACCATGGCACTTGGTGCCACATCTAGAATTTTCTTAAACACCTTTTGCAACAGTGACTCCACCACCTCCCTGGCCATCCCCTTCCCGTGCCCACTCCCTCTTTCTTTATATGTTGGTGACACTCCACAAAGGCCTTCACAAGCTCATCAAGATCCTGCTACAGACTTTTTGCCCCTTTTCCTTTGGATTTCAAAGCTACATCCCAGTTGACCAAATCTAACTTGTGGGCTGCCGCTGTGCTGGGAGGAGCAAGATGTAAGTCACTGAAATTTATTGTGTCCAGATAAAGGCAGAGTGAATTGACAGGTCCAGAAATTCCTGTGTGTGAGGTCATGTCTTCTGTAGAAGGGCTGCATCTGGAAGAATGGCACATCCGAAATTGAAGGGTGAGGATGGAGTAATAAGGGGACTCTGGACTACCAGGAAGTCCACTTAATTTTTCTCTCAGAGCAGTTAAAACCAAAAAGCAGAAATGCCATTTAGTGCTCACAAAAGAAACGACTGCACAAAAGGGGACAAAAAAATCACGTTTATCTGAAATCACCTGCAATTTGAATTTTTGTCAGATTCCCCTTTCAGCTCTTAAAAGCAGCAGTCGGCAGTGCTTGAATAGCTTAAAATATCACCAGTGTGACACAACAGCTTTCTCAGAATTCCTGATTTATAGATATGTATATATAAAAAATACACAGAATTTGCCGTGAGCAGGAGCAAATGGTGCTTTCTGCAGGGCTTGGGCAGAACTCTTACTCTCAGCAGTGGAACAGGATGCCTTCCAAACACCCATGGGTAATCAAACCTGGGCAGGTTTGATCTCCCAGTGGGAGAAAAGGGAGATTAGTTCTAGATTATGATTTCCCCCCCCACTCCCCCTCAGTCTTTACCTCTGTTAAAATTCCAGGTGTTTTGGTGCATCCATGAGGAAACTGAGGCAGGCTGGAAGCACAGGGGAAGTAAACACCAGGGACTCAATGTCAAGGGCGTGCTTGCAAGAGCAGAGAAATCAAGTGGCCTTAAGCCAATTAATTAGCTGATTTTCTTGTTTAATACAGAAATAAGAGTTTCCAGCCGGTAAACAGAGCAGGCCATTCACAACTGCCTTTAAAAGAAAGAAACTCCAGCAATAAAAACCTCCCAAGATTCGCACCTTGTTTTCTTGCGTCTGCATGTTGCACTCAGGGCTGTCAGGGTGGGTTAGGGCAGTTTATTGCCCTGCAGGTGACATATGAGGGCCTCCGGGGGTGACCGAGCGTCCCCTGCAGTGACAAGGCCCGGCCGCGGCACGTGTGGGGACAGCGCTGGCCACGCCCCTTTTCCAGTTGACCACGCCCCCTTCCCGCTCCGAAACCGCCCCCTGAGCTGCGGCTCCGCCCCCAAGCGCCTCGCGCGCCTCTCATTGGCCGGCGGCGTCGCCTCGCGCGCACCGCGGCCTCCCATTGGCTGCGGGTGCCGCTGTTGTTGTTATTCCTGTTATTGCTGCAAACAGGAGCGGGGCGGGTGGCGCTTGTCGCCGCCTGCTGCTTCTGGCCGGCTTCGGTCGCCTTTTATCGCCTTTTATCACCTTTCATCGCCTTTCATCGCCTCTTATCGTCCCTTACCGCCCCGTATCAACTCCCACATCTCACTGCCATCTCTTTGCACCTTTTACCTGTCCCCTCTTGTCCCCGGTCATTGCCGGAGCTCGCTCGGTGCCTGCCCGGGCCATGTCACTGCGCGGTGGCCGAGGGCTGGCGGCCATCTCCCCTCTGCCCTCCCCGGGCACGGCGGCGCTCACGCCGCTGGGGCTGGGCAGGGCTGACCCGACGGGCCCGGACAGGTGAGGGTGTAGCCGGGCTGGCTCTGTCCCGGGGCTGTGCCCAAAGACGATTTTGGGATCCCCTCTTTCAGCTCCTGCCCTCGCCCCGCCGGGGCCAGAAGGGGCACCGGGGGCGCTGACATTTGACCGCCCGCAGGTACCAGGACACCCCAAGGAGGGGGCGCGGGGCGCTGCCCTTCCCATGGCTCTGGCACACGCTGTCCCCGGAGCCGCTGGCCTCGGACTGTCCCTGGGGCTCGGTGTCCTCGCAGCCCACGGATGCAGGTGAGGGATGGGGCAGCTCCGACCCGCTGCAGTCCCCAACCGCCCCTGGCACTGGGGTGGTACCGAGGATGTTGGAGAAGGGTCGGGGATGTCTCGGGAGGGCTTGGCCGAGGGGCTGAAGGCTACTGGGGGGTGATGAGCCGGTGCCTGCAGTCCCTGGGGCTCAGCCCGGAGCCGCCCCGCTGGGGACCCTGCTCAGGGTGACACGCGGCATTCCATGCGGGACCGCTGCTGCCAACGGCGCTGCCACCCGCCTGCCGGGGAGCTCCCTGCCCGGCCCCATCCTGCCCGGTGTCCTGGGCTGGGGCCAGCACCCCGATCCCCACACCGGGGCTACCCTTGTCCCTTGTTCCCGCAGCGCTGGGACCGGACTGCCACACACAGCAGAACTCCACAGCCGCGCAGGAAAAGTGAGTGGCCCCATTCCCGTGTCCCCCCGGGGACTCCCCCTGTCCCTGTCCCTGCCCTGCCTCTCCCGAGCAGAAGCGCCCGCTCTCAGCCTGCCTGTTGCCCCCAGTCTGTGTCTGGGCGGTGACAACCTGGGCTGCTTGGGGAGAGACGCGGGTGCCACCCCCGCTAAACCCCATCTCTACTCTCCCCACAGCTTCCAGAAGACGATCCCGCAGTTTGGCAGAGCTCTCAAAGAGTAAGTGAAGGGGCTCTGTCCTTGCGGTAGGACATGGATGCTGGGCTGTCCCCGTGCCCAGGCTGTCCCTGTCCCAGATCCAAGAGCCAGGCTGTCTCCGCGCCCCTCCTGGGGTCCCGCTCAGGCCGTTGCTGTTCCCTCAGTGCCTGCCCCAGGTCCCTTTGTGGGGCTGTGACAGCCCTGGGGAGCTCTTGCCCTACCCTGAGTACATAGGGGACAGAGGTGACAATGGCAGAGGGGTGGGACACAGCGGTCCAGGACTGCTTTCATTCGATCCTTTCCTTTCCCGACTCTTGCAGCAGGAAGTTTCTTCGCCAGGGTATCCACTCCTTGCCGGTAGGTGCTGGAGGCTGTGCAGGATCCTGCCGAGTCCCTGGCCGAGCTGGGACGAGGAGGATGGAGCTAGGAGAGGGGGCAGGGCTGTGCAGCACCTCTCACCCCCTGGCTGTCCCGCAGCAGTGGCAGCTGGAAGCCAGCCCGGTCCTGAAGGATATCTCCCAGATCCAGGTGCGCAGGGACAGAGTGCGGCGGTGGCAGAGGGAGCCCGAGGATGAGGTGAGGGGGCAGCGAGACCTGGGGGGTCAGGGAGGGGGCAGAGGGGTGCTGAGCCTGTGTCCCCCCCCGCCGCAGGAAGACTTTGGCCCCAAGAAGCTGCAGAGGCTGGGCCAGCGGAGCCGGCTGCCCGCTGGCCATGGGGCTGCCAGGAGAGACCCCCTTGCCAAGAACCCTTCCCGCACACTAGAGCTGCTGGTGAGAGAGGCTGGAGGACTCGGGAAGGCACCATGGATGGGTGATCCTTGGGCTGGACACGTGGGAGCTGCCGCCACAGCCTCCCCGAGTGCCCTGGAGTCCTGTGGATGTGGGAGATGGGCGGGCTGGGCGGGGGGGTCATGGGGACGCTCTGACTCCAAACCTGGAAGGCGCTGGGGGGTGGATGGACCTCGGGTACGGGATCCATCCCCGCTGGGAGTGGGAAGCACCTGGCGGGACTTGTCCCTTTCACGATCTCTTCTGCGTCTCCTCCAAGTCCCCCCAGCTGCTGCCCTGGCAGAGCGATGCCAGCGTGCCCAAGGGGACGGAGAACGTGGTGACCATGCCAGTGATGAAGGAGGAGGAGACAAAGCTGGTACGTTGCAGCCTTTGGCAGAGGATGGAGCCCTGCAGTCCCCACTGGGGGTCTCCAAAGGGGGATCTGGGGCCGAAGGTCCGTGGAGTGGGGCTGGCTGGTGAGCAGCACTAGCCCTGGTGATGGGGGCTTGCAGACCCCCAGGCAGCAGCACGGGCTGTCCCCACAGCGTCCGGGGAAGCACAGCCAGTGCCGACAGCTCTTCCGCTCGCCCTCGGTGCCCGGCAGTGTCCCCAGACTCGCCGTCAAGCAGGGACAGCCCCCGGACAGGGACGCCCCTGTCAAGGCCAAGCAGCAGAGGAGAGTGGCTGGTAGCCCTGAGCAGGAGGCATCGGTGGAGCTGGTGGGTGATGGGGAAGGTGTGGGGTGAGACCCAGCCTGTCCCTGGCAGGACTGGGCCATGTCTGTGCCAGAGCCTCTGCTGACACATCTGGGGGTGTCTCTGGTTGGTGCTTCCACAGGGAGTGGAGCTGGAGCCTTCCAGGTCTGCCCAGCTTGAGGAGATCGAGAACCTGCTGGCCAACGATGACCAGGAGCTCATTGGGGATTTCTCCAAGGTAGGGCCATGAGGATGGAGCAGGTCTGGGGGTGCTGTCTGCATTAGTCTGAACAGGGACCATCACTGGAGATGCAAGAGCCCAAAGCCAGCTGGTGGCACTTGGCTGGGGACACGGGGCTGTGACTTCCCAGCCTGCAGCCCCTGTAGTGCACGAAGAGCCCCATCACTGCTCCTCTGGTCCATGCCCGTGCCACAGCCGCGTGTATCTGCTCCTTCCCCTCCCGTGGGTGCAGAACTGAGCCTCCAGACCACTGGGGGCTCCTGGGCTGGGGGGACAGGTGCCACCCCCGGGAGGTGACCCTGGGACGGGGATGACCCCACAACCTGTCTCCTCCAGCCTCACCTGCTGCCGACAGTGGAGGGGAAGGACCAGGGCCTGAAGTACATCTCCCCTGGCACGGTAAGGGGACAGGGACCCTTCTCCAGCCCTCCGAGGGGCTGCCTCCCTGTCCCCCCCCCCCGCCCCCGTGTGTCGCCCCTTGGTGACGTCCTCCCCCCGCAGCTGGCGGCGGTGCTGACGGGGCACTTCAGCAGCTTCATCGAGAGCAGCATCGTGGTGGACTGCCGGTACCCCTACGAGTACGAGGGGGGCCACGTCAAGGTCAGAAGCCCCACCCCGTGCACCTGGGGCTGGGAGGAACGGGGGGGTCCGAACGCCACCCACCCTCAGAGGTGCTGAGCCCTCCACGAGGGGTTGAGCATTTACCCAGGAGGGGTCTGAGACAACCGGGACTCAGGATCCCCCAGGATTTGTTGAGTACCCTCTGAGAGATAAAGCAAAGATACAAAGCTCCCGGAGAGGAGTAAAGCTCCCCCAGAGGTACTCTGAGCCCCAGAGGGCTTGAGCAGCCCCCCATGAAGGGTACAGAGCTGCACAGAGGGAGCAGTCCCATGAAAAGTGCCAAGTCACCCCTAAAGGGTTGATTCCCAGCTGGAAAGAGGAGCATGATGGTGGGGGAGGCTGGGGGGCAGCATCCTTGGGTCCCTGCAGAAAATGAAATGGGAGGCAGACGGGAAAAGGTGCCTCCTGTCCCTCCGCAGGGCGCTGTCAACCTGCCGCTGCAGCGGGACGTGGAGGAATTCCTGCTGGAGCAGCCCATCGTGCCCCTAGACGCCAGCAAGAGGGTGATCATAATCTTCCACTGCGAGTTCTCTGTTGAGCGGGGCCCCAAAATGTAAGCGATGGGATGGCGGGGAGGGGGAAGGAGGCCACACTGGGGTCTGCCAGCCCCCCGGATACACCCGGATCCCCGCACGGGGCTGATCCCGGGGTCTTTCCCTGTGGCACAGGTGCAAGTTCCTGCGGGAGAGGGATCGGTCCTGCCACGAGTACCCATGGCTGCACTACCCCGAGCTCTACGTCTTGAAGGGGGGGTACCGCGAGTTCTTCTTGCAGTGCCCGGTGAGCCCCGCCCGGTGGCCCCTGGGTGGCAGGAGGGCAGGAGCTGAGGGGGCACAGGGCGGTGGGGAGGGGCAGCTCTGGCGCTGAGCACCTTCCCTGCCATGGGAGGGGATCTGCAGGGCCGAGGGCGCTGGGTTCGGCCCGGGATGGGGGCTGACGGAGCCCTGGGTTGCAGGGCCACTGCGAGCCCCGGGACTATCGGCCCATGGAGCACCCGGCGTTCAAGGAGGAGCTGCGCAAGTTCCGCGGGCAGAGCCGGCGCGGCCGGCGGGCGCTCTTCATCCGCGGGCGGGACCTGTGAGCATCCCTGGGACCGGAGAGCGCTGGAGCTGCGATTGGAGGAAGGGTTCCCTTGGCCGCGGATGCGCCAAGGCTTGCTCTGATATGTTAGGATGTGTCTGAGATGGTATTTAGTATTAAGATTGGTTTTGTGTTTGTTTACTGTTATAAATATTTTTTTGTCATATAAGTATTTTTTATTTATTGTCGTACACTTTTTTTTTTCATCGTTATAAATACTTTTTTTATTGTCATAAGTATTTTTGTGTTTATTGTTATAAATACTTTTTTTTTGTTTATTGTCATAAATATTTTTGCGTTTTTTGTTATGAATATTTTTGTGTTTGTCTGTTGTTATGATCTTTTGTTGATTACAATCTATGTTAATAAACTCCTGTTGCAGGACAAACCCGTCTCCTGAGCTCTCACTGTCCACACACACCAGGGCGCTGCAGGGGTCGGGGACGGCTGGAGGGCTCTGGGGCTTTGGGGACAGGGACAGCTGCTGGCAGGGGACAGGGCTGGAGCTTCCCTGGGGTGTGGTGGCTTCCCCAGGGACAAGGTGGGTGGGGCAGGGGCGAGTGTTGGCCCCTTGGCTGCTGCTCCTGCATGGTGGGGTGGCAGCACGATGGCCCTGGACCCCCAGGGGACCCTCTTTCCTGGGCATGCTGAGCTTGGCAGGGCCCCTGGGACACTTGGGGTGGCTGTGGGACCCCCACAGCCAGGATACTCTCTTTTCTCAGGAGCTCTCCTGAACTTTGCGGCACTCCCCTCAGGGCTGGGACATTCCCGAGGGGAGCCTGGACTCCCAGAAGTGTGGTAGCCCCAGTTTGGGGGTCAGGGCTCATCAAGACACTCAGGAGCATTAACCCCTCAAAATCTGAGACCCTCCTGTAGTGATTACACCCCCTCTCCACGGGAACCCCAAAGTAATGACACCCCTTGTGAGCGGGGCTGGGCTCATCAGAACCTCCAGGGCATTAACCCCCTCATCCCTCTGCCTGGGACCCCCAAAGTCACCCTCCTCGTAGCGGGGGTGGTTCTGGCCTTTGCAGGACCCCCCAGGGCTGTGACAATCATTTTTTGGGGGACAGGGCTTGGTGGGATCCCCATGGCTGTGGGACCTTGGAGGGGTGGGTGTCCTTAACATGAGGGTCTCCCATTCTGTCCCTGGCAAGTGGCCACCCAGTGCCAAGTGCTTTGGCCACCCTTGGGGCACCTGTCCTCCCCTCCACTTCCCCACATTCCTGATGAGTTCCACAATGCTCCAGGGGGGCTTTTCCATGTGCCTCCTTCCCCAGCTGGGTGACAATGACCTGGTTATTGGTGTTGGACCTCACCTTTGCTTCGGTTTTGCCCCACGAGAGAATCCAAAAATACCCCAAATCCAAAAAGGCCCCCTGGCTCCCCATCTGTGCCTCCTGGTCCCCACACCCATGTCCTGCTCCCTCCCAAGCTGCTCACGGACCATCTTATTTTAAAAGGAGGCCAGAAATCGGTTATCAGAGTGTTACCAAGGATGCTGAGCACTTCTGAACCCAGGGTGGGACTGCACATTTACTTGATGCCCATTTCCAAATTGTACTGAAGACTGGCCAAGCTGCTCACCCACCTGGAGCTTAAAAGGTTTCCAATTTGAAGGGTATACACAGTACATTAAATTTATTTTTCTAGAGATGATGAACAATTTCAAAAATTAAAATTAGTGGTACAAAGCTCCAAACCAAAAGCTTGCTATGATGTAGTAATGCCTTCAATTACATAAGGAAAATACTGGATGAGCCTGAAGCAAACTTCTGGAATTCTTAATTTCTGCAGACCAGAAGTTTAGTAATTCATCTTTGGCCATACCTAGCATCTCCTCTGAGAAATAATCTCCATTCCCTGTAGTACTTGAAGCCCTGAGAGGCTGCATCCCTGGGCAAATACAGTGCTCAGAAATAATTCATACTGCAGATGATTCATGTTTTCAAAGAAAAACCTTGCTAAATATTGAACCACACAGGAAAGCTAAAATAAGACACAATAACTGTTAATGGGCATGGAATATTTATCCTTATTATTGCTTTGTAAGAAGTGCATCCATAAGAGCAATTTGCAGAACTTGCTTGTTTTGAAATACATCAGGTGTGCTCTGCCTGCTGACATCTCTGTATGACCTGTGCTGCTGGATAGTGGTGCTGTGCTAAATTTAACTTTCTTATCACTGAACAAAGAGAACCTATATATATATTTATAAATAGTTATGGAGCTTTTCCAGGAAATTGTTTTGCAAAACCACCCAAACAATTTTTCCATATAAAATGACACAGCTGATGCCATGGTAATGCACATGAATTACTGCACAGCTGCAGTCTTAGATGGGAATTTTACTTTGTAATTTCTCCTGTTTTTTGGCCACTAAATCATCTCAAAAAGGCAAAAAGTGAAGGAAGGAAGGAAGGAAGGAAGGAAGGAAGGAAGGAAGGAAGGAAGGAAGGAAGGA